CGGGCCACCCTGCCTTGGTGGGAATCGGCCAGTGTGATAAAAAAAAAAAATAATAATAATATCTTTATTAACTACACGTACATATACAAGGTATACAGCCCTAGCCGACATCAGTGGCATACTACTATATAGAAAGCTGCTTGTTATGCTGAGTATATCAAGCAAATTTGGGTTGAGGGGGAAGAGGGAGGAGGGAGCTGGCTCGTAACTTAAATGTTGGCTCGTAACTCAGAGCAAAACAGCGACCCAGGGACGGTTCGTATCTCAAAAAACTCATAAGTTGGGACACTCGTAAGTCAAGGTTCCACTGTATCTTTATTTACTACATGTACATGTACATGGTATACAGGCCTAGCTGACATCAGTGACATACTACTATACAGAAAGCCCCTTTTTATGCTAAGCATTTCAGGCAAATTAGGTCAGTGTCCCAGGATAACACCCACACCAGTCCACTAACACCCAGGTACCCATTTACTGATGGGTGAACATAGACAACAGGTGTAAAGAAACACACCCAATGTTTCTACCCTGGCTGGGAATCGAATATTTACCAAAAATCATATATGGCTAACCCAAGCCAGGTACTAGAAATAAGCCACGTTGGCTTTTTTGGGTTATCCTAGGTTCTTTACACATATGCTGCTATGTGTGATAATCTATGAAGAGAAAATAGCTTTTTTGTTTCAGTTTTATGGTGCAGTACGAGTGTATATCACAGTTAGCCCTGTGCTATACTCCGTTTTCTCTAATATAAGCCCCAAGACAGATAGGAGAATGGTATTTGTATCCCATATCCTCTTCATACCTCCGTCGAACTGCTCGGTGTTATGCCAAATATTATTCATTCTGGAGTATTTAACATGTTTTATGTTATTTATATTGTTTATTATGTCATATTAGATCAATTGTGATAGGCAATAAGCTGTAGTGTTGATATTAGCGTAATAATAAAGCATATTCTCCTGCATCACGAGACTGAGCTCATGGCAACCGACAGTGGCTTCAAAGCCACTTTATCTTTAATGGATAATGTACTGTGTAGGTGCTTTACATGATGAGAAGCATTTCTTTTATTCATTGGAACCATGGCTAGGGCTAAAGGTAAGCAGGTTATAACAATAAATGGAGAAAAAGAAATTAGAATGACTTATGCAGTAAGTAGTGCCACCAGACAGCACCAGCAGGTTGATGTGGCGGCCCTGTAAATTTGAAATTATGCTAGCCAAAATTAGTGCCGAATAACTGAAGGAACCGAATAACTGATTGCCGGATTTGTGATGGCGGACCTGTATTTGTATGCATTTATAAGGGGAAAAAACGGGTGTTCCACTTTACAGCGATTTCTGCTTTATGGCGGTAGCCTGGAACCTAACCTGCCGTATAAGTGGGGCCCTAATGTACATGAATAAACTTACTTACTTATAAAGCTTTAGTACAACAGGACTAATCTTCAAAGGGTTAAATTAGTAAAAATTACACCAGTCTACAAAAGTGGTAACCCAACAGAAGTTAATAATTACAGGCCAATTTCAAATTTGCCTTTGCTGCCTAAAATTTTTGAAAAAATATATAGACTAATACAGTAGGGCCCTGCTTTACAGGATTTTGCCTTACAGCATTCCGCTAATACGGTGATTTCAAATTATGACCAAAACTTGCTATACAGCAAGCGGTCTTTCTAATATGGCACCCTCCACCCGATTTATTTACATTCTCTGTGAGCACCTCTCTCAATTATGTCTGGAAATTTTCCAAAATTTCAAGTGTTTTAAAGTTATTGCATATTTTATATATACTCTGATAATTATACTTAAGTGTACCTGTACCTAAATATACTTACACACTGTGCTGGCATGCAGGTACACATTAAAATCACTGAGAGTCTCTCTACTCTTTGACGCCATATAATCTCTCGGGTGCATTAAATGTTGTATATTACGTTAATATAGACATTTCCATTAATCCATCTATGATTTTTTTTTCAAAATTATATAATAGACATGCTACATAACATATAAACATGATACATATACCCACAGTATAAAAATTGACATATATATGAGGTTTGTTTACCAAGCGGTTTGTAGGACTCTCGGAAGAATTAAGTTTTCTCTAGTCAAACACCAGTTACTTAACTGTAGAAAAATATTCCTTTTGTATGCCTTCACTCTATCTATAGCTATTCACGATTCTTGTGGGTTAAGCACTTCTTTTTATTATGATTATAATAATAATAATTTGTAATAATAATAATTTGTAATAATAATATTACTGCAATAATAAAAATAATAACTTATCAGAGCATCATTCCTTCTGAATATGTTACATGAGAATGGAAGTGTTGGTCTTTATTTATTCTACTGTACCACTGTGGAGACAACTTGTACACAATTAAGGTGTTTGTATGACCGTGTGTCAACCATAACCAAATGCTTTTGTTTACATAAGTACTGTGTGGCTCTGTCATCTTACTCATTCTCTCTCTCATTTATTCGTTTTTATCTCGCTTACTCACCTCTCACCCTACATTAAGACTACAAACATTTTAAGGTAAGTAATGAGTGTACTGTACATGCATTTTATCACACTAGGGGTTTTAAATGTCATAGTAGGTGGGGTGGCCAGGAGGGCTACCCTACCTCTCACACGACTTTCTTCAAATAAATACTTACTTTTCACCTCTCAACCTACACAAGATCATTAAGACTATAAATGTTTTAAGGTAAGTAATGAGTGTATTGTATATGCATTTTATCACTCTAGGGTGCTTTAAGCATCGTAGTATATTATGTGTGGGTGAGGTGGCCAGGAGGCCTCCATACCTACCCAAACTTGACTTCTTACAATAAATACTACTCATCTTCTGCCCTACATTAACCCTTTGAGGGTCGACAGGCCCTCTCCGAAACTCGTTCTCAGGGTCGGCCAAATTTAAAAAAAAAAAAATTATTTTCTCTTATGAAAAGATAGAGAATCTTTTCCCAATCATAAAGACACCAAAAGTTTGAAATTTGATAGAAAACTTACGGAATTATGCTCTCGCAAAGTTAGCGGTCTCGACGATGTTTACGCATCGGCGATTTTGCCCACTTTGAGCCCCATTTTCGGCCAATTTCACTGTACTAGTCGAAAAAAACATGAATATTTCGCTAGAACTCCATTTTTTCTATCGAATGGGTGCAAGAAACCACTCATTATGAAATTCAACTATCCAGTACAGTGGTCAGAATTTAGCAATTTTGCCAATTTCACACAAATTTCAAAAGATGCCAAATTTCCGAATAGGGTCCAGAATAAACAAGAAAGACATTCCTGGCACTAAAATGACATTTCCTCTAGTCATTAGTCACGTCTCAAGGCCCCTCTTATATTCTTTTGCTTTCCACTTTGAATTTTTATTTTCACAAAAAATATAAGATTTACTGTTATGCAGACTATTGCATTAGTGTAAGAAATGGTATAAATATTATTGGTGCACTTGTGAAAGAATATTAGACTCACCAGTTGACGTGTATTGCAGCGCTTGGCACGATTTGTTTACTTTTGAAGTTTGGTAAAAATCGAACATTTCTGCTACTTTGAGCTCAATTTCAAGGCACCTTTCTTAGTAAAACCAGTCAAAATCATCTCAATTTCTGTAATATGTCTTCCATTCTATAAAATGAGACAAGAAAACTAGAATACAACAATAAATACCATACGAAATACACTGCAAAGTCGCTGATTTATTAAAAAAAAATGGTCAAAGTTTTTTTTTTCTCATTATGCACTGTGTGCTGCAGGATTTTTTTTAGACTGTGCACACTGACCACATAGACCCATTCTTTCATATGAAGGCCTACCTGCTTTCTCCCACTAGATTTGAGGCCGCTAGAATTTATGAGTACTAGTACGTCAAAAACCCCTACGCGTAAGACGTACTAGTACAGTGGACCCCCGGTTAACGATATTTTTTCACTCCATAAGTATGTTCAGGTGCCAGTACTGACCGAATTTATTCCCATAAGGAATATTGTGAAGTAGATTAGTCCATTTCAGACCCCCAAACATACACGTACAAACGCACTTACATAAATACACTTACATAATTGGTCGCATTCGGAGGTAATCGTTATGCGGGGGTCCACTGTACAACGAAAACCCTCAAAGGGTTAAGACTACAAATCTTTTGAGGTAAATAATGAGTGTACTGTGTATTTTACTCTCTATTGTTTTTTAATGCCTAGTTCTATTGCTAACTTAATATATGTTAGTGCAAACTTGTTATCTGGCATTGCTTTAAAGCGATGTCTGCCGTGCGGCAGTAGTCTGGAAACTAACTTGCCATATAAAAGGGGCCCTACTGTATAAGACAAAATATCCTTAACCCATGTCACTTGGGCTTCAAGCTAGGACAAAGTATCAATAAATCAATAAAAAAAATGCTCAGCTGTATCTTCTCTTTTGTAAATAATGAATATCCATTGGGCATTTTTATCAACCTAAAAAAAAAAAAAAAAAAAAAACTTCAATACAGTAGATAGCATTCTACTGCTCAAATTCGAGTATTATGGAATAAAAAGACATGCTCTCTCATACATGAAATCTAAGGGTAGCATGTTAACATTCAGGCATTCAGGAAAACTGGTTAGCAATGAGTCCTGGGGGTGGGAATTACAGGATGTTACAGTTCGAAGGATAACTTGAATCAAGATGTCAGCACACATCTGGTAAGGCAGGTACTGAATGAGTGATGAATGTCTTTTCTTTTCTGAGTCACCCTTGCTCAGTGGGAGATGGCCAGTGTGCTTAAAAATTAATAATATTATTATTATTACTATTTCACCATCTTAAAAATTTCATAAATTTCTCAAATATTAATGAATGTTACTGTTCTCATTATGACTATTCCATATACTTACTGTACTGTAAAAACCTACCTTCACATCCACATACAAAACTGACTAAATATACTTTATGTCCAGAGGTCATTATTGCTAAGTGTTTACTATTCTTACTTGTGTTCCAACTATTCCAGGACTTTCTATGTGCAATCTGACATGGTTGATTGGCCATCTCATAGGTGAGAGGTTTTGACCTATTTCTTGTGACCCTGTAGCGTCCAGCCTGAGCCTTATGTGCTGCTTGTGTTGTATGAAGACCTCGAAGTAATCCATTAGAGAAGAGGGAATGGCCCAATCGTAAGCTTGAGCAAGCTCTCCAGCTCTTGTAGGAAAAGGGATGAACATGAAATATACTGCATTATTAAAAAATGTTCAATGCTGATTTTTTTTAAATTTATAACAAGCATTTTGCACTGGTATAAATTAAAGGATAAATCCTTATTGTAATTACAGTAGAAACCCCTACTTGCAATTTAATCC